AATTAGGGGTTTGAGGCACATTCCTCAGCTATAATAGTTTGTGATCTGCAATCTTATTGTCTCTTTCTAATTTTTTGTCTAACTTTTATTCTCAGTCGACATGCGTGATGAGTCAGGTAGGTGTTAGTTGTTCATTCATGTTCTATCAGTGTCCACCAGGATCACTGCCGGTTGTGCCTCAAATCAATATCACTGTGCTACGTGTTGAATATGCGTTCCATTTTCCTATATTCTACCCTATCTGGCCCTTGATTCTTTATGTTTCGGTGCTGCAAGTGATCTTGGTTGAAAGTGACTGGCCTCCGACGAGTCTATCACCCTTTTAGGATTGTGCGTCATTGGTAAAACGCGGGTGTGAAAAATCCGTTGAAGGGGTTCACTAGGAAAAACAATTTAAACTACCCTCCAACGTATTGATCAAACTGAAAGGATGATGCTAATGATGATGTGGAGAAAGTTCATTTTCACAATCGATGAAGAATTCATGTTAATTGCTTCCTATTATTCAACAGATGATGACCTTCATTGTGAGTTTTGCGTGAAATGAACTATATTTTATGTTTGTTTAAACGGTTTACACTGTATGCGATATCCTACTTTCCAAATTCTGATGTCAGTTTATGAACTATTCTCCTGGGGCTTTTGGGTTTATTTGTACTCGTGGTATAAAACAGGACCGATCAATATTTTTTGCAATCGTACCGATTTGATCTGAACCGTTTGTTTGTTAATGAGATAATGTGATATCATTGATTGATAGGATCACTTTTGACCCGGAGAAATAGGCCCGCAGACTCCAAAGCAGCAATTATGGTAGGAACTTGTATCATTGAATCCCCCTGCTCTGCGCGTTTTGCGAGCCAACTAATATCGTGACCCTAATGTGTTCTATACACTTTCAGTTGACGCACGTGACGAATCAGGTGTGTTTGAGTTGTTGATTATATTGTTTCGTTGTGTGTTGATCAATGTGCAAGTTCCTGCATTCCCCTGTTCGGTGTATTCCACTTCGATCCGTCCATACGCGACCAGTGTTGTTATCTTTGTTTTTTTGGTAGACAGTTTCATTCTGAAAATTGCTTACTACCGACCTGGAATAGACACTGAGGACAACTGAACTAAACGACAAAGCAGTGCACATGAAATTTGAACGGATTTCCGAGGGTGATCGAATCCGGTGTGATGCGCGGTTGGTTCTTCTGTTTTACAGTCTGACAGACAGTCCATTTTAATACCATATCGGTGCTTGACATTTGGCGATCAAAAAATGTAAAAGTCTATCGGCGTGCTTCACTACATCTCATATAACTGACAACAGAACTTGAGAACACCAAATGAGATACCTCGTGTGAGTTCAATTATCTTATTTCTTTGCCTTATTCTTGTATCAGATGATGACATCGGAGGTCAGTTTGCTCGTGTTTTGCGTTGCTCACAAACATTGGATTTTCTAATGCTCGACCGTAGTAAATTGTATCAAACGTTCTTCTCTCACGGTGCACAAATCCTCTCAGAAAGTGTTCAGCCCAAACTTGCCGGTTGAAATGTTTTGTTTAGCATTAAGCGTTTGAATAAAGCACATTGTGAAACGAGTTATGTGATATCATCTGAACATTTATGACGGCTCCGTTGAACTGATCGTGTTCTCATGCTCGTCCCATTCATTTTCCGTTTACAGTGAGCGCTCGTGATGAATCAGGTATGCCTTTGAGTCGAACGTATGGTCTGCTGGCAATCGGTATAAAGTTTGGAATAAACGTTTTGATTGGAGTAATCAACTTTTCTGAGCGAAAAGTCTGGAATTATAAACAATGATAGTTGTGCATGACAAACAACTCATAGATTATGAGACCTGGTGATTTCGTTAAGTTACCGTGATGGTTTCCGCAAAACCGTTTCTTGCAGTTTAGTTTCACTCCGAATGCAACACATTCAGAAACTGGTCATCGGAATTCGTGAATGAACACCGAATTCCGTGCTCTCTGTGCAGAAACATTCATCATAGCTAATGTGAGCTGTTTAGCAAATGTATTTAACAGTTTTCGACGTGGCGCCGAATACTTTGGTCAAACGTTTTCATTTAATTTCACTAATTTTTACTTGAATTCTCAATTCCAATTTCAAACCATCAGATGACCTTGACTGTGAGTTAGAAATCAGCATTGTTCCTTTCACTTTTCATTATTTGTATGTGATGGCAACTTCGAAGTGCTGTTTAAAACTGTGTACATTATTGCATGGCTCTTACTTGACTATTCCGAAAACTCCCATGGCGTTTCACCCCATCAATAAGAAGAAATATAAATCCGTTGCGATTCAATCATTCGACTATAGCAGTCAACGACGCTGTGTACTCATCCTTCAAGTATAATAATAATAATTTTATTTATATAAGGTGTATTATTGAAAGTACAGGGCACATGTTTTGATATATTTTGGCGATACAAAACCTGTATTTCAATTAGACTGTACGATAAAGAAAACCTTAGATCAGCTCTAGGGAGCTTGTCAAAACACCAACCAACATCTTCTGTTTGCGTTATGTGACTAATACGATTTTTCAACTTGTTCACCAACAAGGACAGTGTTCGAAACCCTATCATGAAATTATGTACCACTTCAATGTGGTCTGGGGCATTCTGACTGATGCGTGATCACCATCTAAAAACATCGTTTCTTATGTTTCATTTCTCTCCAGTCAATGCACGTGACGAATCAGGTACGTTGAAATGCATAGGCGATTGATATTTTGTACAAAATGCTTATCTTTCACTGGATTGTTCTTTCATACATCACTTTGGTGTCATAGCCTGATGTTAGAATTGCAGTACAGTTATTTGATTAAGAGTTCTATGATTGAGAAATACATGATTCTAATGTGGTCCATTCAAATTCTCTCTCTCGTCCAGACGACGATCTTGATGGTGAGTTTATCAGTCAAATAGTTGAGTCTTTTCCCACGTGTTTATTTATTTTTCCATGCAGAACTGTCGGCTAAAAATGCTCACAATTTAATTCTAGCGAAGTTTTGCATCTGGTGAAATAATAATCCGAAATATTTAAAAAAATCTTTATCAGGTTTCAAGCGAGCGGAAGACGGTAAATTTCATTTTATCGATTGCATTTTCTACATAACAATAAAACTCCTGCTTCACCTATTGAAATATATACAGTGCGGTTTATTTTTTACTACATGTAACCCTCGTGTGTCATTCACATTTGTATAAGTGTATGATGCTTGTTTTCGAATTTAGTCCCTTCCTTCAATCCCGTGTGTAGTGTTCCACCGTATCATGTCGTAGAGGGTAGATATCAATTGAAGAGGAGGGAATAAGGTCATTACATTAACGAGAAACTAGTTAACAAACCATGGGGAACTAAGTATTTTTTATTCCATCTCTGTTTCACTTTCCCTCTTCAAGATGATGACCTCTACATGTCACGTAAGATTTGTTTTAAATGACTAATAAACCTTTGGTGTTTGAATTGACTCATGTTCCGTAATTTGTTTCCAAACACTCATTGTTACAAGTGATTCTATAACCCGTATACTTTTGACGTACGATCCTTGTCAAAACAGTTTAGTTCACAGAATAGCAACGGAACGAAACACTTTAACAGCACAAGCCAACCGTGGTTTATTCGTAGGGAGGCTAAACGCGAATTGTTATCTGTGAAATTTGTTCGGTTAAGCCATTCCGTATAACAAATATTTCCGGCAGAGAACCGTTTGACTAGTGTCTAACTCAACATCGAACTTATCCCATTGAGGCCTTATGTTTTTCGCCATACTTGGTTCTAAATCTCATGTTATGGATTATCATTCCTGAACCAAAGGTCCTTGTACTTATGGGGGATCGACCCTGTTGCTGTGGAATAAAATAGAAAACAGTTTAGTTTGAACAACGGTGCAATCCGGGGTTTTCAGTCCTGCATACGTGTGACTGTTATAAGAGCGCTACGTGGCGCGCAGATACAAATTGCAACTGGAAAATGAAGATAAAATTGGTATGATCAAACAAGAAACTCTTCTGTCGCATTTATTTCTAATTTGCGTTCCCACAATCTTCATTCTTGCAGGTTAGCCCAATGGAGCAAGCGGTTTGTCAGGACAATAGAATGAAGTATTCCGTGCCAGTGCATGAACTCTGTACTTTGTGTTCCCTGTTCACTTCACTCTCATATATATATATATCTTTGAAGTAATTACAAATAAAAAAACCCGTTGCACCTTTGAAAACTGACTGGTCATGCAAATATGACGTTCATTCTCTCAGATGTGACTTCGTTGTTCGTCCCCCCACCCGCACACAGTTTTGGCTCCACGCCATCGGTTGAGACTGACACTTTGGAGTTGGTTGTCTATTTCGAGGCTTGTAGTTGTGAGATAGCACGAAGCTTGTGTTGGGTTGATGCAGCTTATTACAATGGATTGCGGGGGAATCTGCACAAGATTCGGTTTTGTTCAAAATTCATTTAAGTTCGTCATCGCATATTCGATCGCGTCGGTTTTCACACTGTTCTTCTCAATAATTCTGCATCACTTATTGCTGAGTACATGGACGATCCGACCATAGGTGACTCTAATGAATTACGCCACATGAAATTCTAGGACACGCTGTTGAGAATCACTCGCATCACATTCGTTGCGTTACACCGCTGCGCAGTGTATAGATGGCTTTTCAGAAAATCGATTTTTCGCACGCGCCATACCTATTTGTGATCTGCTATGCAGTGACCAGATAGCTAGGAACCGTCGGCCCTAAATATGAGCGTCACAGTTAAAATTAAAAGGTTAAAACACCAACCATTTGGCGGAAAAAAACTATATTGTTTGTACAAAACGCGTGGATGGAGGAATAAAGTGCAATGAATGCAGTGCACATTTACGGGACTGTTCACAGTTGTTTTTGAAACAAAGGCTATATCAATTACTGTTTTAGATTTGGTTTGGCTTGGCTAGGCATTTGTTCGACGATGTCAATCATGCACACATTCACTCATTCTTTGTACAACGCATAAGCCGTGCAGCAGACCAACACGGTTGGTGTGAGACACTGGGCGCACAGCGTCCGATCGGTATCCGCATTCCATAACACGCGACTAAAACAACCAGCCATGTGGGATCCCCGTTGCATCACGACACAGAATGCAACATAGCGATATCTGTGAAAGCAAACGTTAATGCATATACATATATATATATATATATAAATGTTCATAGCTGCAAATAAGGGAAATGAATAAATTTTTTCAAACTTTCAGTGCATCAGGGAATGAGAAAGCATCGAGATTCAAATGAGTGGTGCATGAAAAGCTATATCGAGTTTAGTTCAATTTAATATCATTATCTAAACAGAACTATTCCAATTTCTAAGGGCATCTAGATGACTCACGTATGGACACGCTAATGCAGTTATTCTCACCAAACCCCATTGTTTTGCTTGATCAAATTCGATAAATGTCTAGCTTTTGTGGATAGGTTGTTGCTCCTAATACACTCCCAACGAGTAAACGAAATCAAATGTTCCGTTGTAGTCATTAAAACGTACTTCTCGACAACGGTCGTATCCAGGATTTCAAATACAAATGAGACCGACCCCCAGACTACCTACCAGTCGGTTGATAAAGCTGTTACAGGCGTGGTATACAACAGCAACCTTTGCAGGTTAAAAGACGAATAACTCACCTCCCCCTGGGCAAGAAAACTCTGTTGGATACAGTTACTCGATCGTGAGGTTAAATGGAATGCATTGGTATCGAGGACTAGTTGGCGTTATCTGTCCTGTATCGTGCTCTACTCCAACCTCAAGCTAGACGATCAAGTAAGCAGGGTCAGTATGCTAGGTCCCGGATTCGAAAATCAGGAAGAATCGACGGGTACGCAATACTCACGAAAGATAGTTTTGCTATCACAATTTAAGGTTATTATTGAAACATCGTCTTCTTCCTTTTTTTATCGCCACAGTGACCATTTGAGCAATACAAATATTATCGTTAGGTTTGTTGATGTTAAGCCTCATTACTGAGTGACGAAGTAATATATAGGAGAAGAGCGACCATTGACGTTAACCTCATCTCGCCTATAACCATCCAGTCAAGAACAATTGATCGCCTTACTCAGATTCCAGATTTTATCAACAAAAACCTAACATAACAATCCTTAGCCAAGAACACTTGTCATTAGTGTGGGTGATATCAGAAAATCTGGGGTCTTTACACTTCACTGTTTGCGCTTTTAACTAATAAAACGATTAAACTGAAGTAAATCGATAAATCCGTTTGCTTGAGCATTTACATGTCTTTGAACCGCGATTGGGTCAGAGAGAGAGAGAAGGATTGGTGAAAAAATATCATGGTCGCTATCGGAATGCCGCTGAATCACGCTGTAGTGCTCAGGGCAAGGTAAGTACACATGATAATACGGGAATAAAATAACAAGAAAGGTCAGCAGAAACTGTTTTGCGTGAAATGCTTAAGTTGTGTGCAATGGTCTATGGAAACATCCGGCTGTAATTAGGATAGAAAACAGCAGACTAAAAGATTCAAATGCCCCGTGTACATTCGGTTAGAGTGGAGGTAACGGATCGGGAACACGCAATCAGTGATTGGGATCACATCGGAGGCTTTACAGTGTTAGTATTTTGGATCGCAGTTAGCTGGTTTATAAGAACAAATTATCACTGCTTGGGAAAACCCAAAGGGAATGTCTCGGTCTCCATAGAGACCTGTCATTCAAAATCCCGACTGCTCCGGATTGAAGCTCTGATTTATTTGATGTGGTCCATGTTAACGCACATTCTGTCTGTTTAAACATTCACGGAATCTACGAAGGGAAATAGCCCGTATGAAAGCATAATACATTTTAACAGAAAAAATGCCATCCTGGGTGTTTAAAAATCTTAAGACGATTTGGTTCACACCATTACCGGACATTAAGGTTCACACCGAGAAACCTACTAACTGAAATAAAATTTGTCTTGGTATTTGTATAGACCTTTGACTGAGCAGATGTCCGCATTCCGGTCAAAAATTACACATTTCATCAAAAGAAGGAATTAATATGAGTAAAACGTCTAACCTCCAAGGGTGTTGAGAAAATCAGAAGAAACGCACTGTCGGTTTGCAAGGAACTGGGGAACTTCTGTAGAGGTTATTGCGAGCGGGTAATAATCGATATGCAGAGCACGTAGAAGAATGAGAGCAGCATTTCAATAGATCGTCATGTAAACGATGAGTGTGGGGTCAGAGAGGATTTTCTGTGCAAACTTTTCACATGCGGATAAGTGAAGTTCACACATTTTTTTCGATAGTTCATAAACGGGTATAAAAGACACACGACTGGTGATCGACAAACCTCGAGGAAGAATTTTGAAGTCATTTTTGAGTAAACCAGCAAACTCCACTGGGGAAAAATAAAGTAGAACGGGCAAAACACGTTAATAAACAAAAAAGGAAATGATTTTTTTGTTTCGTATTGACCTGCCAAAGACTTTAAAGTTGAAAAGATAATCTGCGAAGATTCTGTACAGAGTTGTANGTAAATATGGGATGTCCACTTTAAGTTTGTGTCAATTGTAACTCCTAGACACTTCGCAGAATCAACTCTAGTTAGGGGATTTGTGTTTATGGCAGACGGATCACGAAGATGAATGGATCAAAAGCGTGAGAAATTGTATTCGAAGCATTTGGATAAATTAAGAGACAGTCCAGAACGAACGGAGATTCCTGGTAGATTTTTCGAGAAATGTGGAAGGTCTTCAGGCACAGAAATGGCTTGACAGCGGGCTACATCATTACCATATTTAAATAATTGAACTGGAGAACTTGCTCACAGGTCACTATTGTAGGTAGAAAACAAGAACGGAGATAGTACAGCACCCTATAGTACTCCCAAATTATTCAAGAGCGGTTTAGATATTTTCCTACCGAACCGAGTATATTGAGTTCTGTTTGTGAAGTAGTCAAGTAACCACATGAGTAGGTGCTTAGGACAACCAAATTATTCCATTTTACGAAGGAAGAGGAAAAGTGAAACAGAGTCCAACGGCGATTAAAAATCTGAGTACACACATATTAAAAATTTTGCCGATGCGTCTGAGGATTTGGTAACATAATGCATGAGGGAGGCGATAGTATCCAAAGTGGATCTGTTTGATTCATATGCAAACTTGGAAGAATCTTCGGGAAACCAGTGAGCTCAGGTCGATTTGGATGGCAGAATGAAATCGATTTCAGGCACACAAGTTGCTCATCCGGTTCACAAGGAGCATGAAATGAAAGCGGTCAATTTCGCAAATGATCATATTAACGATAGAAAACCAAACAGAAAGTGGTTCATCGGCACCAAGTTGCAATTGCCACGGCTCCAACTATTTACCTACTCAGTTGATTCAATTGTTTTCAATCCGGATTGATTACATCACCTATCTTTTCCTGGTGGCGACTTGATTGATTTCATGGAAATGATCCTGACATTTGACCTGATCCCGTCTGACGCAGATCGGGAATAGAAAAGCCTGTTAGGTTAATTTTTTGTGATCATTTACCCAACAGCGTTAACAGTATTTATGATAAAAATACCCCCGTTTTGTCAAAACTGATACCGCACCAGATTCAACCAATCAGATTCATTTCATTAAACCTGCAAACCAATTTGACATATAACCGACAGATCTGTGGAAGGAAATTACCGCAAACCAACTCTTCTTGCAACTGACTCTTATTGAATCACAATCGCCGTAGTTGGTCGTTTAACATGCTTGACGTAAAGTAGATTGTGGGCCATTGCGCAGTGATTTTACATTGTACTGTGAATGATTGCCAAGTCAGTTTACCGAAAATGAAGTAAAGGTAGAAAAATTCCCTCCTGCAGTTTTTGTCTCCTAAGTTGTCTGTTTAAATTTATCAGGGAATTTAAATGTTTCAGTCAGATCCAACTGGAGCATCAGCTTTAGGAGACGTTGCTTGAGACAAAAATTTGGAAATATTCCCTTGGCATCGTGCTACTCGGATTGCTGATGCAGTTTGTCTCACGGAAGAAAGTCAAATCTATTCACATTCATTGTGACCAGAATAAGTATCATCTCGACGATTGTAATCAGTTATGGTGGTAATTCCAACATGGTCCTTCACTCTGTCTAAATGGCACTACCTTACCGATGTTGTATATCATTTTTCGCCGGTGAATAGTGTGGTGGTAGCCGAGTGTTCAGTG